CTGCTCCCTCCTCCGTGGCTAATAGCCCCCCCAGCAGGCCACATCACGACACCCTACTCCCCCCTCCCCCCCTTCCTCCCCGCAATACCCAGAATTTTTATAAAACCAGCATGACCTAATCCTTGGGCATGCCAGATAACACAGGTTTTACTGTATTTGGTCCCATAATATAAGAACTCGGGGTCACCAAATGAAATTGAAAGGTAGTAGGTTTAAAACAAACAAAAGGAAGTTTTTCTTCACGCAGCGAACTGTCAACCTATGAAACTCCTTGCCAGAGAATGTCGTAAAGGCTAGGACTTTAACAGGATTAAAAAAAGAGCCAGATAAATTTATTCATCTATGGCTATTAGCAGGGCTCGCCGAGTGGCGGCGAACCCCGCTCGCCAGCTGTGCGATTCTGTGCTCTGCGCCGGCTCTTCTGGGGTGTAATCTACTCACCACAGGCGAGTAGATTACGTTGTTTGTCGAGCCCTGGCTATTAGTCAGGATGGGTAGGAATGGTGTCCCTAATCTCTGTTAGTGTGGAAATGCATGACAGGAGAGGGATCACGTGATGATTACCTGTTCTATACATTCCCTCTGAGGCACCTGCCATGGGCCATTGTCGGAAGACAGGATACTGGGGGCTAGATGGACCTCTGGTCTGACCCAGAATGGCCGTTCTTATGTTAGTGAGCAGTCCAGGCTGGAGCCTGCAGCTGCAAGGCCTTGTAAAAGGTTAGAGGGAAGGAGTGACTCATTAGTCTGGATTGTAAACACTGGAATGTCACTCTATCCAGTTCAGTACCAGTACTGTGCTGGTTGCATTAAGGAAGGGGTGGGGAATCTTTTTTGGCTCAGGCCGCTGACTCACAGAAAAATCACTGACATGGTCCCCGACTGAGAAGCAGAAAGACACTCCCCTCACACAACAGAGCCTAGCAGGGCACAGGCTAGTAGATTTTTTGTGCTCCAGCCCTGTGGGGAGGAGCACCAGCTTGGGCTCCCCAATGCTGGGGGGCAGGGGAGAGCCCCAAACCTCAGGAGCCAGATCCAGACAAGACAGGGGCCATAGCCAGCACCCGAGCCTTAGGTTCCCTACCCCTGCATTAAGGATTGTGTAGAAGAAGAGAGAATGGCATAATTTGCACATTAGTTGGGAAGTGAGTTGTGGAAACCATTTCATATTTAGCTAGAAGCCATCTTGTATAACAGAAACCATTTCAGCTTTCTGCTTTTGCACGTACGCCTGTGAGTGAACTTTCTAACACCCTTTGTGCCAGGCCAGACAGATGTGCTATTGGAATGTGTTAATTGAGCTGGTTGAGAAGGGAGCGCCCCCCCCTTGCTGATAAGGTTTTGCTTTTCTAAGTTTAATTGATGATTTCTGTAATTGGATGCCCAGACATCAGACTTGTTTGATTGTATTAGCCAGCCTTATGGGGCCTGGCTCTGCTGGGACCATATTTGGCTCACTTTGTGCTTTATTGATCAATAAAGCTGTTTATTAGCCGCCAAACCAGAAAGGAGTGTTTGCTTCAACAGAGTGTTTAATATGCCCTAGTACTAGACATGTCTGCTTTGGTACACAGTTGCAGTGGGTGGCATAGATTTATTATATATTAGCCAAGGGTAATATAGGATAGCTAAGGATGATGCAGTACCAGTCACACTTTCCTATTACAAGACTTTAATCTGATTTTTGGACTGGCTGTGAACTGTCAGCTACTTACACTACTTCTATTGAAAAATACTACTTACATATATTTATCTAACAATTGAAGTAATTATTTCAGTTTTTAGTGGCAAGAGTGAAAGGAAGAACAATTTACTGGATCTTCCTGTTAGGTAGATTAGAGAAGATAGAAGACGCCAACACTGCAGGAGAAATGAAAGCCAGGGCTTCTCTGTACAAACCTGAACCCACAAGATGAAAAGCTCTATGAGAGTTAGGTGGTTTAACAAAAAATACCGACCCCTCTCCCCCTTCCAAGCCCCCCCCCCCCCCCCCCGTGGCCAACCCATATAACAAAGAGAACCAAAACAGGAGTGAAAAAATGCGAAGAGCCGCACCAGAATTGTCAAGCAAAAACAAAAAAAATTCAAAAAAAGGAGGCTTCCCCTTTAAGACAGCCACCATCTTGGGCACCATTTTTAAAACCCTGCAGCTCTGACCTGGTAAGCACAGGGAGGCCGGGGGGAGAGCCGGAAGGGGCCGTTTAGGCGGGGGGGCGCAAGAGCAGCTTTGTAAGCCGCACTTTTGGGGGGGCAAGCTGTGCCCTGCGGGAGGCATCATGTGGCCAGCTCCCCGGTCTCTGCTGGTCACATGGGCCTAAGCACCGTGCGCTCCACTCCCACCCCAGCCCGGCACCCCCCTCATGTGGCACTTGGCAAGTGCCCTTTTCTGCCCCCCTTCTCCTCACCTCCCCCCTTCCCCCATCCCCGCCAGACGCAGCAGGGGAAAATTGTCCAAGCCTGCCTTCTGTCTGAGGGAACCAGGAAATACCGGACAAAGCCTGCAAATACCGGACTGTCCAGGTGAATACTGGACACTTGGCAACCCTAATGAGAGTGTTTTCACCATGAAGAAAGGTATGTAATGTAGTTTTTCAAATAATTGTTAGAGTAGATTAAGATTGAATGGGAAAACTTCAGAAGAATAGCAATAGGATGGCCTTTTGGTCAAAGATTTTAACTGATGTTATATTAAGCAAGAAAAAAAATATATTTTAAAAAAGATTTTCCCCTACATTTACAAAAAGTAAACCAAAAGTTCACAAATCAGAGCCTTGGCACACTGTCTGGAATAGCTGTTAGCAGAAGAGCCAATTTAGGGCTGCCCTTTGGACAGTGTCTCATGCTGTCAGTTCCTGAAAGTCCTGCATTCTGTAGTAAGATGAGGACCTGAAATAAGAGTCCAAATAGCACAGGCCTGGTTTGAGGCCTGAGGCCTAGCTAACAATGGACAAACCTTGGCTAATATAAAACAAAACTAAGCTGTGATCAAGAGACTGGCCCCTGCTCAAAGAAACCTCTTGGAGTCTGCTTTGTTGACTAATTGCGCAGGTCAACATGGCACACATGATTGAGCACACACATACACAGCCAACTGGTTATCATCACTGATGGAGCAGGAGACCTGTCAGAACACCATGCCAGTAAATCCTGACTACTACACATTCAAGCAGTAAAGGTATAATCCAAATTGACTAACACTTTTATAGTGTCACTTCAACACTATAATTAGAAGTCAGTCTGACCAGGCTTGTCAGGAATCTATCCAGGCAATTAATCTCTATGAAGCAAAAGGGTTGGCATGAATTGTAATGTCCTTAATATGAACATCATTAAGTGGACGGTAGGTCTTCTCATTCACTGGGAGTTTCTCCAGCTCATCTAGGGTCTCCAGGCCATCAATTACCCTAGAAGGAAAGAAAAACAATTATGAGAATTCTCTTGTAATGAAAGGCCTACATTTTCTTTCATAGTCTAGGTATTCCAATATGTTTTAAGTGAAGTAAGGTACCTGCAATGCAAGGACTTAGTAAGCAAATAAGATACCCACTATGTTACTAGTAGTTTAATGTCCCTTGGACATTATAACCTATTGTGAAAGAGAATTCCCAGTGGCCCCATATGAGTCTTGGGAGGGTGCCACAGTCCTTTTAATTTCAACTTGGGTAGCCAGAGAGATCTAATGCTCCCTTTAAAAGGACAGTATGTTTCTTTGCCCTACCCTGTCAGCACTAGATGTAACACCCAAATTGGGTTATGATTTTTCCTCCCCACACACAGAATACAAATAACTCCCACCAACTTCGCAATATCTGTTCATCCCAACCTTTTAACTACATAGCAATAAGGTGCCTAAGAGGATTCCTGAGAGGTTGGTCAGACTGACCATGGCACTAAAAACAACACTAGCAAGATACTCAAACTGAACTTCATTGGGAATTACTCATGTCCTGTAACTGGGGAATTAGGCCTCGGATGACAAATTCTAACCAATAATGCTCTGATACAGAGGCAGGGATGGTACTAATTGAACCATTAATGACCACATAAATCAGGGACATCCTGGATACTAATTCACTGCAGGATAAATTTAGAGGTAGAATTGATGACATGAAAGCCAACTTGACACTAACTTAAGCAATTGTTACTCTGGCCATTTGAAGAGGTAAGGCGACATCCAAAATACTATGGGGACAACATCAATACAGAAACCATGTTTCTCTGTTATACTTGTAACAACAGTAGGTAAAAAAGTAACACCTATTCCTAGATAACTATAACTGAAAGTTCAGAGGAAAAATAAAGTTTTAAATGATGGAAGTTTATTTTGTGCATTTGGCCTCATAATGTGTAGAATTTCACTATTTACCCTAAATATTCAGTCAGTTTCACCAGTTTGTATGAGTCTTTCACATCAGGATGTAAGCGACTAGTCAACTATCCAATAAGCAAATGCTTATCAGACAGTCGAGTAGTGACTCGGCTAGTTGCTCCTTCCCTTGCTGTCTCTATCAGAGAGAAGCAGCAAGGGGGGAAGCAAGAGCCAGTGGTGCGGGGAAACCAGCTTTAAGCTAGCTCCCCCCAGCACCATCTCCACGGGGGGCAGGGGAGGCAGAGGCACAGTGAGGAAACAGCGCAATCAGAGTCTGCTTCAGTTACCGCTCACGCCGGATCCCACCGTGGGCTCTTGTACATTTCAAAAGCAGAAGTGCCGCAGGGAGCATGGGGAGAGCAGGGACTCAAGCATTCCT